TTTACAGAAAGAGTATGTTGATCCCTTATCTAGTTCACAGCACAACTGAGATTAGAAAGTAGGATTCATGACCTCTAATGCTATCGTTCCCTATTTACCTTTGAGACTTGCTCTCTTGTCAAAATTAATTACAGGAAGACATGATTTTACCAGCATTTCATCAACGAGAATCTTCTATTAACTGGACATTTCTGTATATCTCTATACAAATGGCAATTTACTTTCATAGCTATTACTCTAAGACATTTGAATCAATATCCTGATTTGGAATATTCACATTACAAATGTTCTATATGCAATTTTGTTCAAAAATGCTAAATGGGGCTCTATAGAACATGAGTGTTCTCAGGCCCAGCAGCTTGTGGATAAGAAAGGATTCACACTGACATTTACAACCAGATTTGTTGGCTCTTTGCCTCCATCTGCCATGCAGGCCTTCAGACCCATGCAAAGTCCTGACTAGCTTAATGTTTATTAGCTTATCTAGAGAAACTTCATATAAGTATGCCTATCTTCCCACAGTTCTTGGCTGGGCAAATACTGCCTAGTTCATTTGCTATCCACCACCTTGAACTTCCACATTACAAAACTCTTGGTAGGGGGAGGAAGGGATTGAAGGTGCTGAAATAACAAGTGGTTTTCTATGACATTCATAGTACTTGATCCCACTGGAATCCCATTCAGTTGCACACAGCAGTAGAGAGGATCTCCTTCTTCCCCACCCGCCATAGACCCATGGTGCTAGTTTTCAAAATATAGTCCCTGTATGAGCAGCATCAACATCACATGGGAACTTTTTATAGGTGCAAATTTTACCCCAGATCTACTGAATCATAAACTCTGGGCTTGAAGCCTTACAATCTTGCTTTATTCAGAAATGGGTGGTTTTAATGGATGGTAAAATTTGAAAGCCACTGACAGAGTATTGGATGCAGACCAACATTTCTATGTCCACTTTTCACTCCTTCCCCCAATGTAGTGGTTTGTGCATAAAGAGAACTACCATAAAGCCTCTTGTCCTAGTAGTGTCTGCATGCCCTTTTCAATGTGACACTACAATTCTACCTTCATGAAATGAAGTAATTTCACATCCCCTGGAATCCAGGCTGACCTTGCTTTGACCAATGGAATGTAGCAGAAATAATGTATAAATTTCAAAGTATAAACATCAAGAGGTCTTCCACCATCCTTCTCTTGGAAGGCTGCCCTGAGAACATTATATAACAAAGCCTTAGTCTAGCCTACTGGAGGATGAGAGGCTTTGTGAGGGACTGAGGTTCTCTACCCAAGAGTTGTCAGATACCTGAGTATGAGTACTTCAGACCATCTAGATCCTGTTCAGTTGCCAGATAATGGCATTCACATAGATAACACCAATCAGGGCAATCAGATTAACTAACTAATCACAGAAAAAAATCGCAGATCTACAGAATTATGAGCAACAAATAATTCTAAGTCATTAAGTTTTGGGGTGCTTTTATGCAACAATAGATAATTGCTACACCCAAGTATCCAAGGGACAAAAATTGCAGAAGTTTGTTTCCAGCATGCTCATTGTCCTGCAAATTTAAACAATTTATACAGCTCAAGCAGTATACTTTAGGTAAATAGTCACAAGGGAGCTTGCTTTAGTGTTTTTCAAAAGTCACATTGGGTCTCAGTGTCCACACATACAAAAGAAAAATATTCAACTGGATGATAACTTCAATGATTACTCCAAGTTCAGAGTTCTATGCTTCTAAGAAATTCAGACTAAACTGATTTCTTTTACTCCTTATGTAGAAAAAACAAAACTACATATCACTTTTACTTCCCATACATCCAAGAGTGAGTTAAATTAGATTAACTACAGGCTACCTGCCTCTCTATCTAGAATTTCCATTAGGCTCTTGGACAGAGAGATAGTACAAGGCACAGCAATAAAACAAAACAAAACACTGGCTTTGGAGCTAGATACACTTGAATTGGAAACCTGGTTCTTTTTCTTTCCAGCTGTATGTCCTTAATCTAACTATTTCCCTTCCAAACCTTGGGCTGCTTACCACTTAAAAAGTTGTTTATAACCATATGTACCTTGAAATTATTTTTGAGAAGAAAGATATAAATGTACAAGAAGTTATGCATGCAATAGTAGGAGCACAATGGAAAGGCATTATGATGAATTATAAATTCTATTTTATTGTAATATAGTACATGAAATAATCATCATATATCAAAACCATATTACAAATTAGATTTTTATATTGTATTTATTTCAGATTAACTTTGTAAGTGTCACAAAGTCAGGAATACAAACAATTCTTAATTCTAATGTTTAAACCACCACATGGAAGAAAAAAAGTCTTATTTGAATAAAGCAGCTTTGGCTCTGACTCCCTGTTGATTCTTTTCATTCAACATTTGTATGTTTAACATTTTGACTTTATGCCCAGCTCTGTATCAGTTTGCCTCTGCTTTTGAGAAAATTCCTTTTTTAAATAATTTTTTTGTTGTTGTTTTTCAGCTCTGGCTACAACACCACCAGCTATCAACAATAGCTTGGGACTGAGAGTACACCCATAATCTCCCTACTGGCAGCAACATGGAGCAAGTAGTGGGAAAGCAAGAAGCCACTGGGATGGGGGGTCTTCACTGGGTGGAGGGGAAGAGGTAGTAAAGGATCTCCGAAAGACACTCTTACTGCTTCCATGACTATTTACCTTACTCTCTGCTAGTATCATTGGTCTCCTTAGTATTCCTTCATCTTGGTACTACTTTAATGCCTTTATTCTAGATGTTCTATCTCCACCTGAAATCTTTTCTGCAGATGTACACATGGCTCACTGCTTCACTTACATAACCTTTGTGATACTCTCAAATGTTCTCTTAATGCAATAGTTCAACTGACCACACTTTAGACAATTATGCCCTCATCTCAGTTCCCTTTCCTTCATGTCATGATTCCTTGTTCTCTATAACTGTTTCTCAAATTTAGAGTGCTCACAAATTACCTGGAGATTCTATGAAAAGGCAGATTGTGACTCGGTAGACCTGAGGTGCTTTAGTCTGATGCCCAATACATAGAAGTTACTCTATTAAATACTGGAGTTAATGAAATACTCATGTTGCTGGAAATCAAAACTAGAACTTGGTATTTTCCATTACAAATATCAGCATTACATTTAAGGATATTACATGTTAAAAAGATTTTGGTGCTCTGGCTTTTGAACCTTGCTACCATGTGTATAGTGCCTTAAAGGAAGGCATAAACCCCTAAATTTAGAATTCAACAAACTGATCAAAAAGTCACTGAACACAATATCTTCACAGAATTACAGAGTCTGAAGCCAAATGTACCAGAGACAACTAGAAAACAAACACTAATAAATGATTATATAGGGACAAACTATGCATATGTGAGAGAACCAAAAATTACAGCTCATAAAAAGGAATAAACCTCACATAATTAAATATAAACTTGATATAGAAATTTTAGCATCCCATGTTGGTGAAAAAAACATAACGCTTGTACATCTTTTTCAAGTCTCCAATGTCATTAAATGAACCTCTGATGACTGCTCAGAAACCCCAGGGGGCACATGAGATATGCTGTCCCCAGTTTGTATGGCCTCTTTTAATACAACTACTATTTATGCCTTCTATTGAATTATGACTATGCCACCCTGGATATGATCCTTTCAGTTTTGTATATTTCTACTTGATATAAAATAAAAATCAACTTTGCCTAAAGAACCAGTCACCATGCTTTTATACTTCAATTATTTGATCTTTGGAAAGTAAACAAGGCAAAACAACAACAAAACACCCAAACATGTTTTTAGTTCTGCCTCACTATAGAATTTATACAGCAAATAAGTTTTCTGGCTTCTTTCCTGAGAATCAAAGCCAGCACTGAGAGTGCTTTGAGATTTTATGTATACTTTCTATTAACGACTGAATAAGAAGTGAAATAAACTCAGAATTTGCAGGAAAAACAGAAGCTCTAGGAAAATGAAGAAATTTCCTCTCTTAAGTTGGCTTGTGGTAGTCATAGCTTAAAGTTTTTCTTTTTTCTTTTTTTTTTTTGAGACAAAAATGGAAGAGCTTTTAAAATTGGTTTTATCCAGGTGTGGTGGCACAAGCCTCTAATACCAGTGGCTGGGGAGGCTGAGGATGGAGGATTACAAGTTCATTGCAAGCCTTAGTAACTCAGTGAGGCTGTAAACAACTTAAAAATACCTGGTCTCAAAATAAAAACTAAGAAAATGGCTAAGGATGTGGCTCAGTGCTAAAATGTCATTGGGTTATATCCCCAGTTCTCCCTATCCCCAAAAGAGGTTAGTTTCAAATGGAACAGAGAGATTTTAACAGGCCTATGTGGGTTTTTGTGATTTTTTAAGTCATACTCAAAAGACATTGTATAAATGATACAGAATTCATTGAAATGGAATTCTTGTGGATTTAGCATTATTGGATATTCTGGTGCTTCACTTTGATTGAAAAACATCCATTCTTGGATGATAGATAGGAATACTATCTATCATCACTTTTCTGTCTAGGAATTTCTTCCAGCCTCAGAAAAGTGCTTTTCCAAGTTCTCCACTGCTTACAGAAGGTATCCCAGAGGTAATGGCTGTGGCTGGATCAGGAGTACAAAGGTGAGACCTCTCCTTGCAATTCAGTGCAGCTCTCCAAAGTCAGCCTAGATTTAGGGCTCTTGAATAATCTGAGTTTTCTGTTAAAACCACATCACGTTTCAGCCTTTCCCATTTCTTCCTGTCCTCCTCTATAGTTTTATCTTCAAAGAATGCTTCTCAATAAACCTTTGCCATATAACACTTCAAATCACAGTCATTTTCCAAAGAACCTACTCTAAGACCTTTTGCATAGCAAATAACACCAAGATTTATCCCTATCTGCAGAATTGGAAAATAATTTTCCCTTTCACTCAGGGATCACTACATAGTTATGCTTTTGAGCAAACAGCTAAAGCAAAAGAGAATGGGATGTAGTATACTTACAGGCTCCAATAGGGGTCAGTCCAGGAACAAGGTCAGGGTATTTTGCCCTCAGCTCTTGAAGTAAGTGGTTTACTGCTTCCCACTCAGTGCTCAGATCTTCCAGCTTCTTCTTTAATAGAAAAGCACACATTATTTGAATTGTTAGTTGATTATCACCTTGACAATAACTTAATTCCTGAAGTTAATTCATTTTATGAATATATTATTGGATTTCTATTATATTTTACTTCTAAATTAACTTTTCTGGGTAAATTTCCTTTCAATGTAATTATAATTATTTTAACCAACTACCCTACAAATACTTATTGATTGCTGCATATAAAGTCTTCCTCCAGGCACAATTTCTTTTTTAAAAAAGTAGAGTGCAAACATTAGTAAAAACAAAAACAAAAACAAAAACAAAAAACAAAAAAAAAAAAAAACGAAACAAGCAAAAAACAGTCCTCAGCACTTGACTTGACTCTTTAAAATAATATCTAGGGGTGCTGTATACTAGAATTATCCAGAGAACTTTAAAAATAGTCCTAATACACTAACTCAATTATATCAGAATTTCTTGGAGAAAGAAGCTGTGGAGGACATGGGGATACACCACCTAGAGACCCCACAAGAAAATGCTCTTGTCCTAGATGGTAGAAAGACATCCTTCAGCTATGAGTCCCTTCAGAGACTTTCACAGCTGCAGAGAGCTGTGTCCTCCAAGCACATGCTCTGGCTTCACTCAATGATGACTGATCAAAGTAAGGATATAAAGATGTGGCCAATTTGGCTCATATCAGTACAAGTTTGAAAGGTCATTTCAGCTGCAGAACTTCCAATGGTGTCAGCCAACTGTTTATGGCTAGCAGTGTGCTGGTATACGTACAACAAATGGTTCTCTGATTTTAGTGTTTGTGTTTCTGTGCTACAAATTTTAAATTGTTTCATATATATATATATTTACTAATATAATGCCAAATGACTCTCAAAATGCCTTCAAACTTAATAGTAGCTCTCCTGAGCTAAAGTTGCTGGCTCCAGCACACCACTGGGCAGAAAAAAGATAAGTTATAGCCACTAGAATATGAGTGGAAGTGATATCTGTCAGTTCTGTGCTGAGACTTTTACAAAATAGAGTTGGGTATCTAGACTCTTTTTTTTTTTCATTTTCTATTAACTGGAAGCAGAAGACGTTAAAGGTACTAGTGCAAACCTTCTCATGAATTGGAGGGGCGGGATTAAATTCTAATTTCCTAGAGCAGTGGTTCTCATACTTGAGAATCAACAGGATCACCTGGAGACCTGATGAATTGGTTCCAAACCCAGAATTCTGGATTCAGTAGGTCTTGGGTGAGGCCCAGGAATTTACATTTAAATTTTTTTTTTTTTGTAATTGTAGATGGACAGCATGTCTTTGTTGTATTTGTTTTTATGTTTATATGGTGTTGAGGACCAAACTCAGAGCCTCACACGAGTGAGGCAAGCTCTCTGCCACTGAGTTACAGACCCAGCCCAGGACTTTACATTTTTAACAGTTTTCCAGATAATCCCAAAGCTGATTGTACATGACCAATGTTGAAGGTTTCCATTATACATAATGAGTTACCTAAGTGTCTTCAATGTACTGACTATGTAGCATCCTTGGAAAAATACAAAAATAAGCCTTCATATCATTTGCAATACAACTTAATTCTCTTGGGAAACATTAGTTGAGAAAAGCTGCCAAGGGAATGGCAAAGTCAAAAGATGGATGGAACCCTTGGTTTCTATAATAACACAGGCAGGAAAGCTGCTTGAATAGAGACACAAACACTGTACTGTCATTTAAACAAGAAAAACATTTCTACTGTGTAAAGTGACTGAATTTTTAGTTAGAACTAGCAAACCTTCCTAATATAGTAGTAATACACTTAAAAACTTCACCAGTGCACTGAGTGTTAATAGCAGCGATTTTATATAGCTGTAAATTCCTAAGTTTATTTTGTAGAGTATACAAATAATTTTATTGACAGTGGATGTCATTAAAATGAATAACAGAAACTGCATCTCTAGTCTGAAGTTTCAGAGTTGGAAGACTCAGAAATTACAAATTCTTTACAGAGGTGTTGAGTAAATAGGAATGGTAATGAACCCTACCTAACTGGAATGTTTTATACATGTTGTGGTTTAGTGCTAATGATTAATTTAGTGCCAGTCACTTCAGTAAAAACATTCATTCATTTATTTATTCTAGAAAATAAATGTTCAGCTGCTCCTCTGTGCCAGTCTTTGTGCCAGTTACTAAGTTTACAAATGAAGATGATCACTAAACATTCACAGTCTTGTGGAAAAAAATAGACATGTAAGAAAATTACAGTTGAGTTGTGGGGGAATAACAATGATTTCAACAAGATACACTGGGGAAACAGTTTAACTCAGCCTGGAGAGGTCAATAGATTGCCTAAAATTCTAACATATGAATTGGTTTTGAGAAATGACTAGGGTTTGTTAATAAGGTGACTTATTCTTTCAGAAAAGTAACTTTTGAGGATCAGGCAGAGAGAAGACATTCCTAACAGAAGGAAGAACATTTTCAAAAGCACAGAGACAAGAGCCACTGAGTCTTTTCAAGAAAATGCAGTTTGTCCTGGTTATCTGGACCAGAGTTTATAAGGAATGATATGTAACTGCTAGGCCAGATCCAATGACAATTTATTAAGGTCTTGTAATGTGAGGTTATCAGATTCTCTTCTAAAACCAGGGAGTAGATGGAGGTGTTTAGAGTAGAGAAGTGATGTGATAAGATTTGTGTTTTTTAGTGTGGAGTCTTTATCAGAAGGAAGCAGAGACATGAATTGGGAAACTAATGTGGAAATAGGAGTGAAAAGTGATCTGGATCTGACCAAAGAGTTTGACCATGTAGAGAGCGGTCACGAAGTGTGTGTGTGTGTGTGTGTGTGTGTGTGTGTGTGTGCGTGTGTGTGTGTGTGTGTGTGTTTGACTTTGATCTGAGAAGTGCTGAAGAGAAACTTTCTAATAAGAAAGTTAAAAGGCTTTAAGTCTACTCTTTCAGTGTGTATCTTTCCAGTTAGACTATGTGCCTTTCATCTATTCCATGTTTGGTGTCCTCCTTATGCTGAATCCAGGGCTTCCTAATAATATTTGTTCAATAATATTTCTGAATTAAATCCAATTAAATAAAAATCACTGCTTGAAAAAAAGAAAAGAGAGTTAACTGCGTGTTCCTCTACAATGTGAATTACACAGCATGGGTGGATTCTTATAGAATACTTAAAGATCTCATGTAAATTTTCCAGGTGAATAATAATTTACTAGGCTTTTATAATTCCTAATCAGACTGTTTTCAAAAAATTAATCTCCTAAGCCATGAACTAGGTGATAGCTATGGGAAAAACAAGACTTATCTAAAGCACAAAGCTATAATTTCAGTGGCAATTGGTTATTGCTGGTAGAAACATGGTCATATGTTAAAAAAAAATAAAAAACCAAAATAACCCTACTGATCATATTCTCATATCACTGTATGAAAAAGTTTACTCAGTTTACTAATGACACAAGGAAATACAAGAAATTTTGTTGGGGCATTGTAGGGAATGGAGATCAACACAGGTGTATGCCCAGAAAGTGGAAAACTTAATATGATGGATACTTACAACAGGTAAATTGTGTGCAACAGTTAAAATCAACAAACTAGTTGTATATAGAGAAATGTGGATGGATATTTAAAACTCAGTGATGGGTTTTCAAAAAGCTAAGAAAAGGTTTATAGTACAATAATTTTATGAATTTAAAATATACTTATAAATGATATTGAATGTTTTAAAGACAAAGCAGGAAAGAATATGATAATAGATATATTGTCACATTTCAGCACTTCTGTGTATTGGTTATCAAACACAGCAATTAAACATTAAATTTTATAATTCTAAAATTAAATAAACTATTAAAACAAAGGCAAAGTAGCTGGGTGAGGTGGTACACACCTGTAATCCAGATGCTTAGGAGGCTGAGGTAGTAGGGTTACAAGTTCAAAGCCCCTTCAGTAACTTAGTGAGGCCTAAGCAACTTAGTGGGAGAGACCCTGTCTCAAAATAAAATATGTACAAAACTCAACTCAAAATGGATCAAGGACCTATGAATTAAACCAGAGACCTTGTGCCTAATGGAAGAAAAAGTAGGCCCAAATCTTCATCATGTTGGATTAGGCCCCAACTTTCTTAATAAGACTCCTGTAGTGCAAGAATTAAACACCTAGAATCAATACATGGGATAAATTCAAACTAAAAAGCTTCTTCTCAGCAAAAGAAACAATCAGTGAGGTGAATAGAGAGCCTACAGAATGGGAGCAAATCTTTACCACAAGCACATCAGATAGATCACTAATCTCTAGGATATAGAAAGCACTTAAAAACCTTACACCAAAAAACCCAAATAACTCAATCAATAAATGGACCAGGGAACTGAACAGACACTTTTCAGAAGAAGACATACAATCAATCAACAAATATATGAACAAATGTTCATCATCACTAGCAATCAGAGAAATGCAAATCAAAAAAACTCTAAGATTTCATCTCACTCCAGTCAGAATGGCAGCTATTATGAATACAAACAACAATAGTGTTGGAGATGATGTGGGGAAAAAGGCACACTCCTACACTGCTGGTGGGACTGCAAATTGTGCAGCCAATCTGGAAAGCAGTATGGAGATTCCTTGGAAAACTTGGAATGGAACCACCATTTGACCCAGCTATCCCACTCTTCAGTTTATGCCCAAAGGACTTAAAAACAGCATACTACAGGGACATAGCCACATTCAATGTTTACAGCAGCACAATTCACAATAGCTAAATTATGAAACCAACCTAGATGCCCTTCAATAGATGAATGGATAGGGAAATTTTGGTATATATACACAATGGGAGATTAGTCAGCATTAAAAGACAATAAAATCATGGCATTTGCAGGTAAATGGATGGAGCTGGAGAATATAATGCTAAGTGAAGCAAGCCAATCCCCCTCAAAAAACGAAGGCCAATGTTTTCTTTGATTTGAGGATGCTGACAATGAGCAATGAGGGTGGGGATCATGGGAGGAATGCAGAAATTTTAATAGGGCAAAGGGAAGGGA